CCCCGCCGTGGCCGCCGGGCCCGGTTCCTCATTGGACGTGGGCTCAGGGGGCGGGACTGAGGCCGCCCCCTCGGGGGCGCACCGATTGGCCACGCACCCTGCGGTGCCGTCACTGGCGGCGCGCGGCTGGCCGCCCGGCTCGGCGCGGGTGGGGGCCGCAGGGGGGCGTCGTAGTCCGGCCCGAGCGGGGCCTTGGTTGCGGGGGGCAACGGGAGGAGGCGGCTGGCGGGCTGGGAGGTGGCGAGGGGCGTGCGAGGCCCGGCCGAGGAGGAGGAGGAGCCAGCCCCTGAGCGCGGGAGATTTCGGCGCCGCGGGCTGGTCCTCCTTCGCGGCCCGCCGCCGCCCCTCCCGCAACCCCTTCCGCCGGGAGCGCCGAGTCCCCGGGCTGGGAGCGCCTTGGAGAGCCAGTTCCCCTTTATATTCCACCCCAGGCTCTAGAGACCATCTGTCAAATCCACCTCCCCCCGAGGACCACTCGGGCTGCCCCTTCCCTCTCTCCCGCTCACCCGTGACTCATGCCTGGGGCTTGCCCGGAAGAGGGGTTACTCAGCTCTCGGGGCGCCCCCCTCCCGCCTGGCCACCCCTCCTCTGCCCGCCTGCGTCCTGGCCTGAGATGTCCACGTAGCAATGCCCCCGCCTCCCACCCCAGGATCCGTGATTGGATTCCTTTCGAATTCCACGTCTCTGAGTTCCATTCTCACAATGGGTGGGAGAAATGGAGACAGATTCTCCCCCTCCCCCAAAGCGGCCCTGGCTCCTGGGGCTAATCTCTCTGTTTATTGTCCCATCACTATCAGGGGCCCCACAGACCAGATTCCAAATCCAACACTAAATAAAACAGATGAATATTCCCCTTCTTTAGAGGTAATCTGTCTTTGTCATTGCGACAGCTAAAGGGACTGAGTTGTTGAGTATGACTCATAGCGACCCTCTAAACAACAGACCTGATTCCTGTCCTATCAGTATTCAAAGTAAAGGACATTCCTGTTAAATTCCTAAAGTATCCATTTTCATCCAGGCAGAGCTATTCCTTGGGAATGGACATCATGCTTGGAAAGGTGAAGGGGTCACTGAAAGAGAGGAAGACCCTCAATGAGATGGATTGACATAGTGGCTTCAGCAATGGGCTCAAAAGGTGTCCGAGATGACGAAGATGGCAGAGTGTAGGATAGGGTTCTGATCCTTTGTTCATAAGATCACTGAGAGTCCTCCTTGATTCAAAATCACCATACGTTTTTACCTCAAAAGGACATAGCTTCTGTCTGTTGTGGTCTCACATTGTGTGAGAAGGAGAGACGTTTTATGTCTCTGGGCAATAGAATTTAATGTAAAAAAAAAAAAAAGTTTTTCCCCCCTGTTGACGTAGGTTAATTTTAGAGGCTGTAAATTGGACAAGACAATTAATTGTGTACCTTTATCTCAGAGCATCAAGTGGATTTGAACTGGCAGCATCAGGATGGATGGTGAAGAGATTGAGATTGTACACAGCTTTAGTTTGCTTGGCTCCATAGTCAACAGTCTTGGCACCAGCAGCCAGGAAATTAAAAGGCTCTCCAAAGTACTGAAGAGCAATGGTGTCTCTCTGGAGACTAAGGTGCATCTGATACAGGCCATGGTCTTCGCAATTACTTGTTATGCATCAGAGAGTTGGACAATGACCAAGGAGGATACAAGGAGAATTGATGCCTTTGAGCTGTGGTGCTGGAGAAGAGTACTGAGAATGCCATGGACTGCTAGGAAAACAAACAGATTTGTCCTGGAAAGGGTTAAACCGGGTGGCTCCTTAGAGGCAAGGATTCTGAGGCTCCGTCTAACTTATTTTGGACATGTTGTGAGGAGAGACCGGTCCTTAGAGAGGGACATCATGCTTGGGAGGGTGGAGGGACAGCGCAGGAGAGGAAGGCCCTCTCTGAGGTGGATTGATTCAGTGACTGGGATAATTGGGATGGGAGTGTCAGAGACAGTGCAATTGGCACAGGACAGAGCGGAGTTTAGGGCTGTTGTACATAGGGTCGCTATGAGTCGCAGGTGACTCGACAGCACATAACAACAACAACAACTTTTAAGATGGCAGTAGAACTGCTTACTACTAGGCTACCAGAGTTTTCTAAAAGTAGTCAAGTTCGAACCCAGCAGTGTTCAGCTGCTCAATGGAGAGAGTGTGGCAAGCTCTTGAATTGCTACTGTGTTCATTTGCATTGGACTAGAGGTATAGTGGAAAGACTAGAATATATTCATCAAGGAGAAATACATACATTCACCTTCTAACCAAAAGGTCAGCAGTTTGGACCCACCAGCCACTTTGCAAGAAGATATGAAGCGGTCTGTAACCCGGAGATTTCTGGAACTCCCCTGGGCACTTATGTTAAGCCCTGGAGGGCCTCTCTGGGTCAGATTCAACTCCATAGCAGGGGCCTTGGTTTTAGTTTGGTAATTATTTCAAGAAGAAGAAATGTAGACACTCTACATGTTCCTGGTTGTGTCTCTGCCATAGAAGTGAAGAGGGCAAGACTTCCTTAAGAGTCCTAGCCTCAGATCTGATGGAGGATTCTGGTGAGGCAGTAGGACAAGATGAGCTCTGGTGGCCTAGTGGGTAAACAGTTGTACTGCCCAATCAAAGGTAAGTGGCTCAAATCCACCAATTGCTCAGTGGGAGAAAGATGGGACAGTCTCTTCATTTATGATTTACAGGCTCTGAAAACCTCCCAGAGTGTCAGCTATGCTTTGGTTCAGACTCAACCAACTGTGGTGGTGGTGTTGTTAGGTGCCATCAAATCCTGTACAACTCATAGCAAACCTGTGAACAGCAGATCTGAACCCTGTCCTGTCCTGTGCCATTGTCACAATCTGACACACACAATCTGCCCATTCCTGCAATCACTGTGTCAGTCCACCTGGCTCAGGCTCTTCCTTTCTTTTGCCAGCCCTGCACATTTCTAAGCATGATGTTCCTCTCCAAAGATCTCTCCTTGAAACATGCCTGAATATGGGAGATGAAGCTTTAGGATCTTTGCCTCCAAGGAGCATTCGGGCTGCACCTTCTCCAAGATATATTCTGCTTGTTCTTTTGGCCGTCCACAGGATCTCCAGCACTCTTCTCTAACACCATGGTACAAAAACTCATGATCTTGAGTGAATTGTCTTAAACCTTCTCTATATGTTTAAATCATCAGGCCAACTTTGTCAAGATCTCTGGGTTGAGGCCCTGAAATTCTCCTGAGATTGTGGTGAACAGTTAATATTTTTTTAAAAAGTATTTGAACTGATTTGTAGAGAAAATGCCCTCAGAAAGAGTTTAAGGAGAAAATGCCCTCAGGAAGAGTTGAACTGTGATAAGATTCTCTGTAGGAGGTCTGCACACCAATCATTGTGGAATCTGATTTTTAGATGTGACAATTTATCATTCTTGTGCTGCACTGTTACGACCTCAAAGAGAGACCATGTTGTACGTTATTATAAGGCAGTTAACTTTTTTTTTACCAGTAGTCAACATGACTGGGTTCCAAGGAAGTTCTCCATCACTTAAAGTTATTAAGTCTTTGGGAATGACATACTAAAACAGCCATTTTTTAATGACTAGGTTAACAGCAAAGTGACGTGAATTATCTAGAGTTTTCTCAGTGAAGCTGACCTCCATTTTAACACCTGCTTTGGAATGTTTTTATTGACAATAACTGTTTTCTATCTATGTATCTATATATTTGATTACTAAATAATGAATTTTACCAACATAAGATAAGTTTGTAGATTTGTCACTATAAGGAGCTTGCTTTCTTTTAAGGAGGCATAGCATAAAATGAAGATTACATCAGGCTAGAAAGAAACTGTTTTTGCATTGATGGTGATGTCAACTGCTGGGATATAGAATCGAAGCCCAGCCTTGTTTTGATATTACTACTACCTAATTAATTAGAGGGAAGGAAAGGAACAGTTTCCTGTCAACTTGGAGTGATAGTAGATGCTCCAGCGTTGGAGACCAGGTCCAGGATCCAAAAACTTGCTGTGTAGAAACTGTACTTTCAGCAGGCAGAGGTTTTACAGATTTGGTATCAGCATTCTAACAGATTTGCCACACTCAGAACCTCATTTCCATGGAGGGAGTCCAGCCTTGTTTGTTTGTTGTTTTTTTTTTTTTAAATAAGGCTATTATTTCCCCATAAAGCAATATCTTAAATAGTATATGAAGAACCTATGGCAATATATATTTCTTTCTTCCAAGAGAGCAAACGGTAGAAGTTAACTTGAATGGATTTGGATCCCTAGTCTCTTACTAGTGGTATGACTTTGGTGAGCACTTCTGGTTGCTAAACCTTAATTTCTCACCTAGAAAGTAAGACATATTAATAATTATAATGTAATATTACTAATCCCAGAAGTTCTGGTATTAAATTATTGGATAAAAACCTGGAGGTATAGAAAACTTCCAGTCTTGCTCACTCCCCATGAGCTCTGTTTTCTGGGGACTTGAACGGGGCACGGCTAGCTCCTAAAGTCTTTCCATTGCTGCTTAAGACTCGATGACACTAGCTCTAAGTTCTAGAGGCATGTTTGCTTACATCCTTGTTGTTAGGTGCTATTGAGCCAAGTATAAGTCATAGTGACCCTATGAACAACAGACCTGAACCCTATCTTATCCTGTTCCATCCTCAATTTCTGATATACTTGAACCTATTGCTTGCATCAGCCACTGTGTCAATCTATCTGGTTGAGGGTCTTCCTCTTTTTCACTGACTCCACCTTTCCAAACATGATGTCCCTCTGCAAGAAACAGCCTCCCTTAGCAACAGTGTGAGATGAAGCTTTGTAATTGCTGCCTCCAAGGAGCATTCGGACTGCATTTTCTCCAAGACATATCTGTTTGTTCTTTTGGCAGTCCATGGGGTAGTCAATTTCTTCTCTAATACAACAGCTCAAAGTCATCAATTATTTTTTCACATTTTCTTATGATCTATACCCCTTGTGAAAAAAAGAACATGTTGAGGGCAGGGGGAAGGATTTCTTTCAATTGGTTCATAATGTCTAGGTAAATTATGATTTTTTATGTTTACCAGAAGCTCTGAAGAGCTTGCTTGTAAACTACAATAAGAGACAAGAACTCCTTAGCAAAAGAAGAGCAGAATCTTCTAATATCTTGAATTTATGGGTTCCTAAGTACTCAAGAGCAACGGTGTCTCTCTGGAAACTAAGGTCCGCCTGATACAGGCCATGGTTTTTGCAATCACTTGTTATGCATCAGAGAGTTGGACAATGACTAGGGAGGATAGAAGGAGAATTGACGCCTTTGAGCTGTGGTGCTGGAGAAGAGTATTGAATGTACAATGGACTGCCAAGAAAACAAACAGATTCAACCTAGAGAGGGTTAAACCAGGCTGCTCCTTGGAGGCAAGGATTCTGGGGCTTCGTCTGACATACTTTGGACATGTTGCCAGGAGGGACGGGTCCTTGGAGAGGGACATCACGCTTGGTAGGGTAGAGGGACAGCGCAGAAGGGGAAGACCCTCTATGAGGTGGATTGATTCGGTGACTGGGGTAATCGGGATGGGAGTGTCAGAGGCAATGCAATTGGCACAGGACAGAGCAGGGTTTAGGGCTGTTGTACATAGGGTCGCTATGAGTCGCAAACAACTCGACAGCACATAACAACAACAACAATGTTGGTGAGTTCTGGTGGCCCAGTGGGTAAGGAGTTGTGCTG